GGAAATTACCCAAGCCAGTGTTTCAAACAACACATCAAATTTAAACAAATCAAGGTAGGGTTGCAAACAACTTGCTAACACGTAAAAGAATGTATGAGGAATTAATTATTCATACACGTTTTTACATTAGGAAGATTAACAGCCTTACCCCCTCAATTTTCTGGGCTATATGAGAGGAATTTCAGCTATGATTTTTCTGAAGTATCCTGAATTCTCAGGTGTTCTTACCCCTTCCTTGCAATACAATTATTTCATCTATTCCTAAATATGTGCTTGCAGTCTAGAAAAACAACAGCAGCAATACCCAACACTGACTTTCACGCTACCAACAGCAAACACAGAAGTGGGTTGGGGTTTTTTTGTACAGATTCTGTGTCAGTTTTGCAATCAATCAGAGTCCTGGCAGAAATCCAGAATTTCTAAGAGTCATATGCTAGAATCAGAAACAAATTTCAATTCAAATGAAGGCTGTGCATTAACTCAGCTATTCCTGTTTCATAGGTTCACAGAGACCAAATTACTTCAGTCCCCCCTACATCACAGATGTGAACACACACAGCAAATATGGGAAAGCTGCCACTGCCTGAATGCTGTGTCACAACCCTTATACCTCCAGATCACACTACAGTATGACAGCTTTGGGATACATAAATGCTTTAAATATAATAAATTACACACTGATATATTTAAATATCTTAAATTACACTGCAATTTGAAAAATTACATTTTTTTCAAACGGCCATGTAAGAGTAAGATTCATATACATAAAATGGTAATATGCATTGTAAATATCTATCTATCTATCTATCTATATATATATAAAAATTCAGAATCAGAAATTTAAGCAAGAATAAAAAAATCATACATATAAATCAGTGAAAAAAGTGAAATGGATTAAAAAAAAAGTCATGAGTCCATTTCAGATTTGCAGTGTACACCAAGTACTTTCAGTTGCATGACTCAAGTTACATTTTTTTCCCCACACAGATGAAACAACAGCTAAGAGTCATTCCAGCCTCACCAACTTGCTTGCAGGTGGGTGAAGTGATTCTGACTCCCCAACCCAAGCTGAGAAAAGTTTCCATCTGCTTTGTATCTGTATGAAATGTTCACAAATGTGAAGTAATACACAGTGGACTGAAGAAAAAATAAGCTGAAGAGGAAAAATAATGAAATTGATCAAAAGTGGAAGAACGATGAACTCACTTCCACCCTAAAGATATCCAAACAACCTAAGGACTCCGTTAGAAAAATGAACATCGTGTTCGGAAAACAGGAAAGAACAGCAAGACATAAATCAAATAAAAATATCATGAGATTGTGCTTTAGAAAACCACATGGCCTGTACTGAGCTCTGTTCCTACAGCCCCTTACAGAGCTGGTTAACTCCAGGCAGCCTAAGGGACACAAAAAACCCCATGTGTCCAAAACCAGTGCAGGTCTTATTAGCAAGAGCTCAAGGTGGCCACCTGATTAAAAAGTGAATTTTGACAGGTGAGAAAGAAATCAGCCATACTCTCTACTTTACAAGGAATAGAAATGGAATTTTCACGTGAATCTGAGATAAAACACACCACCAGGAAAGGTATTATGAAACGTTTGCTGTGCTGAGGCTACAAAAACCTTTTGTCAGTGTAAGGTTCAAAGGCACGTAGAATGGTCTGCAAAGAGATGATCAATAAGGATAAAAACATCCCCTCGGGTATCAAGAAATTATTAGATACCATGGAGTGGCCTGGAGGGATAGAAAACTTTAAAGGGAAGAGGGAATTGAAGGTTTTGACTCCTCTTCTGTGAGGTATTAGTGTAAAACGTGCCTGGGCTGTGGCCTGGAATCAGATGTTCAGCCCAGCACATCCTTCAGTGGAGGTCAGTTAACAGCAACCAGCACCCAGAGGACAGGGATATCCTATGCACCTCCAGAAATATGTTTTTTAAACAACAGTGCTGTGACTATTTTATACGAACATCAGCCCTAAAATCTGTAAGAAGAGACGGGCTTTGCATCTGCGGCAGACGTCGCCGGGTTAAACGTTTTCCCCTGACCCAGGATATTCTGAACACCTACAAGCATATGGTGGGCATCAAGCTTTAGCATTCCTCCAGTAGCACCACAGACACAGCGAAAAGAGAGCTGGGACCTCTGTAACTGAGATTAATTGCTTATTATGGGTCGGAGGAGAGGCGGCGTGGGAGTGCTGCAGCCTCAAATAACAACGGGGAGCAGCCCCTTGGGCCAGTGCGATCCCCCGAGCGCTGGGGCTCCGTCCCTGAGCGCTTCCCTGCACTGATGTCTGTCCCTCCCTGGCTGCTGACAGCAGAGGAGCCCTGGCAGGGATCCATGCCACTGCGTCCCCTTCTCCAGGAGCTGCCCTGACTCTCAGCCCTTCAGTATCAGTAACACATTCCTGCACACAAGGCTCCGGCAAGGCCCCACCCCGCTTTAAGTCTCACTGCTCGTTTTTCTGTCTCATTTTTCTCTGTCAGTCTGTCAAAAAAGCAGTGCTGAACCTCCAGGCTCAGTCCCAGGCCACCGGCACCAGGGGCTGTTCCCTGCCACCAGTGCCTCCCTGCAGGCCACCACGGCGGTGTGGAGCTGGCTGCAGATCCTCAGCCGTGTCTAAGATTTGAGATTAGCCTGAGGTTTGAGATGAGTCTGCTTTGACCAGGATTTCACGGCACAGGACTGTGGGTGTGTTTAAGGGCAGCCTGGGCTGGCCTGCAGACACTGACAGAGCGTGGGATGGAGAGACCATGGATCACACATTCCCTGAACTGCGAGGACTCCTTCACAGAGGGAAGGGCTCGGGCTCACCCTTGCTGGGACCCCACCGTGCCCTGCCTGTCCCCAGGGAGCGAGGAGCTGCAGAAAGGGAGAGAGGCTGCACTGCCTAGGAACGTGCAGGGATGTGGCAGTGGAAGGGTAATTGGGAAGGAAGGAAGGAATAAAATCACCTTTGATGCTGCCCTCCTCAGAAACGCACCCGGAATCAAAGCGAAGCCAGCAGCAGGAGGAGCTGAGCACCGAGAGCTCAGCTGAAGCAGCCGTGAGAGGCTCCCCACCATGCAGGCAGCCTCCCTCCTTCCCTCCCACGAGCAGACAGCGTGGCACCGTGCTAGGGATGTGCAGCCTCTCAAGCACAGAATGGAACAGGAGCAAAGAGAGCACCAGAGAGACAGGAGGGAACAACATCCCCCTGTGGAGCTCCTGCACAGAACCCAGCAGGTGGAAACGGTGCTCAGACTGAATTTGGCCTCCATCAGAGGATATCAGCCTCTGCTGTCTATGAACAGGTAACTGGAAATTATGGTTCACATTGTTTTAATCTCTGCTGCGGTTCACATCTGTAACTGGAAGGACCACAAACAGGGACCATTTTGCCTCTGTTTGGAATGAAAAACATACAGCCCTGCTTTCTGCAATCACCCAAATAAGATAGTTATGATTTCCAACTCCCCTAGTCATCAGATGGCTGCAGCAAATCCCTAGAAAATAATTCTTTGCACCAATCGTTTGCCACATAGTGGTGCAAGGTGTTTGGAAGAAATGTACTTGACTGAGAAAATAGTGTTGAAACAGTTTGGTGTTTTTCCCAAAAATGTGTTGTGTTTTTTTGTTTGGTTGGTTGATTTTTTCTGTCACCTCCTAGAAATAATTGCTTCTGTAAGCACGCTGGTTTCCTGTGTGTTAAAGACTCACCAAGCAAAATTACTGAAACACGATTTTGTGGGAGCCATCTTCTCTCAACATATAAATTTAAAAGCAGATCCCATTATTATGATTGCCTTTCTCCCCCCATCTCTTCTTTCTTTTTCTCCCCTCTGGCATGGCAGCAGGAGGTAATTAGAGTGGTCAGTCTGTAGCTGAGGCTGCAGCACAAAGCCAGGGCCAGGAAGAAGGAGGCAAGGCCCATGGCAGAGGCACAGCAGGCTGCAGGATCAATGCAGCTCTTCCCACTGCCTTTGCTCCATTTCCCCCAGCCTTCCCATTCAATTGGCGTGCTGGGAAGTGTGCTGCATCACAGGGAAAGGCCTGACAGGAAGGTTTTCTGTGCTCCCTTTTGAAACTTGCCTCGTGTCAAGCTCTGGTCTCTTGCCCAGTCAAACACAGAACACCCTCCAGGGCCCGGGTTTGAAGCAGCAGAGGAGCAGAGTGCTTTTCTCCCTGACTCTGCTTGCTGGGCTGACAGAGGATTTGGCACTACCATTCATGCTAAAAATAATTTTACATCCTTTACACTCCTTCAGTAAGAGTATGACATTTTGTGCATTGTACAAACCAATTCTCTTTAACCCTACTTAACTAAAGCTCTTCTTTCACCACATCTTCATTATGCCCTTAGGTGTCAACACACTCTTCAGCTGCTCTCTCTCAGTGAGATAATTCTTATCTCATCACAGTGATGATGTTCCAGAGTGTGTTGAAAACCCAGGATTAAAAATGAATGTTTTTAATGCAATTAGGAACATTGCACAAGTTGAAAATTAATTCCTAGTTATAACACATTGATCTTTGAGGGAGTGTAAGTGCATTTTTAGGTCTGTGAGCACTATTGAAAGAAAAAAAAAAGATTATTCATATGATTAAAGTTAACATGACTTGTCAGAGAAGAGCATAAGTGTATTTGGACCCAATTCAGAAAGATACTTAGGAACATGGCTGGCTGTAACCTATGAAACACGGAGCACTTAAAACACCACCAAAGGACAGAAGGAAAAGGAAAATCACCTCATGGCCAAATCTGCCAGCTGTGTTTTTCTCACAAAACTCTGCTCTGTCTTACAGCAGGTTTCATACCCTTAGCATAAAAATCTTTCACAAATTGGATAAATAATAGCAAATAATTAATAAAAACAACACGTCGATAATAAAAATAATTATATTAAATCCTTCTCTCTCCAAACAGCTACAGCTAAAAGGTGAAGAGGCAGTAAGGAGAGCAAACAGGAGATGAAGGAATCAAAGAGGTTCACGAGCAATAGAAGATCTATTGTGTCACCTTGCCGCCGCGTTGGTGATTATTTTCAGACTGCTGGGATTACGGATCAGCTTATCCAGGATGCTGACAATCTGCTCAAACTTGGGTCTGTTGTTTCTGTCTTTCTGCCAGCAGTCCAGCATCAGCTGATACAAGGCAGCTGGGCAGTCCATGGGAGGTGGCAAGCGGTACCCTTCATCCACAGCCTTAATCACCTGCACAAGGAGAAAAGTTTGTGGAGACTTGAAGGCACTTTACAGCAACTTGGTTTTTATCAGCCGTGTGAGTGTTGACGTGGACACGCCGTGTTTAAACAAACGTGTTTGTTCACTAATTGTCTTGTCGTGCAATGCCTCCCCTTTATCTGCAAAGTAAACCAGGCAGTAGATTAGGCATGCAGAAAGGGGAGGTAAGATACAGTGTGTGACTTTGGAGAAGGTGAGGGTGTGGAGAGGATCTCAACAACTCACACTCAGCTCAACTAAATCCAAAAACAAAAGCCACAGTTAGCAAGCGCTTGCTTAAGCGTGCCAGACTTCAAAAGGGCTTGAATATCTCTCCCCTGATCACCCTTAGCAACAAATGCTTTCCACAACAGAAAAAACAACCATTCCACATCCTCCAGTGGACACTGAACTCAAAAACACCAACAGAAAAAACAACCTACCCTGCTGAAAAATCAACCTGCCACCTCACAGGCTATCCTGAACCAACAGACAAAAGGTCTTGTGGATGATGTCACAGGGCCACAAAATGTTTTTAAAACTTACTTCATGTATAATGTACACTTTCTACTAGGCAGTGCAAGCCCACTTCTTTATAATTTGCCTAGATTTATAAAATTCTTCTAGATTTTCTGTAATTTTTCCAGAATGACACACACAAAACCAAGATTACTTTAGAATTAATGCTGTCCAGAAGCTTTTTAATCCAGCCTTTTCACTGGAATCTAACACCTCTTGATCAGGCCTGTAGTATCTATTGCCCCATGAATAAAAACAACCCAATGTATTCAACATAGAAAATGATAAAGCCATATTCTGTTAATCTTTCCTTTTCATCTGGATCAATTAATTAAAAAGCAGAACAAACTATCCTGAATCAGAACAAGGACAAGAGAACAGTTAATGGTTTAAGCAGCCATGAAGGAGAGGCACATAAATAGGTTAATCCTTCAGTTTCTGATTTTAATGGGATATTATTAAAGGCATTCCACTAATATATCAGTCTGCACAACAGGATACATTAATCTCCACAAAAACATTAATTACCAATTAAAAGAAATGCATAGTTTTCTGCAGAGATTTGGGTTGCAGAGGTATGTATTTAAAAGGAAGTTTTCTTCTCTTTTTCCTTGTTTAACATAAAGTAGTACAGAAAAATGTTTGATTACAACTGTAACTGACTTATTTATTTTACTTTAGAACTAGTAACAATATATATCAGCTCCTTGGAAAATCTATTTGTGTGAGTGACTGCACTCCATAAAATTTGGTCCATAAGAAACTCCTGTGGAATAAATCTAAAATTAATAAAACAACAGAAAAAAACCTCAAACTAGATATAATAAAAATCTTCTCTGGGGAAATGTTATGCTTCTTTAAAAAATGCTGGGAGAGCTCCATTAATCATTTGGATTGCAGGCTTGGACAGTTTACTAATGTTACAAAGAAACCTGTATTGGAAGTCTAATCAGATCACTCTCCTTCTCTATTTTATCCATTGATTACTTCCAGAAGCATTTTGGTTTCATTAAACTCTTAGCAGAAATGCTTTGCTTCTCTTTTTCACAAGTGCCAAGAGCAATTTATTCTGTGCATTTGACATTTACAGAAAACTTCTACAGAATATTATACAAGTGGAACCAAAGGGGGTCAACAGACATTTAGGAGGGTTTTCTAACAACGAGCTAAGGAATGTGAAAGGCAGTGACCTCATTGCAGTGGAATTATTTGCATCATCTTACAGAAAACCACCAATGGGATAAAATTCTCTACTCTGCTCCTTCAGAGGTCCAAATCACTCTGCTATAAAGATGGTGTGTTTTTTAAGTTCTAATGGACTTTTACTTGAGCAGGGAGATCCGACGATTTTCACCTCCACGCCTTATTCAATGTCACCATCAAAAACTCAGGGCCACCTGGTCTTGGCCTCCTTTCCCAGCCTGATTCCTTATCTGAGGACATAACTCAGACAACAATTTACTCACATCCTGGTTGGACATCTCCCAGTAGGGTCTCTCCCCATAGGACATCACCTCCCAGAGGACAATCCCGTAGCTCCAGGCGTCACTGGCTGACGTGAACTTCCGATAGGCAATGGCTTCTGGAGACGTCCATCGGATGGGAATCTTGCCCCCCTGGGAGCAAAACAAAACCAGAGAGTCCATCTGACTGTCCTGCAACAAGTGTGATTCTGTGTGCTTGATTATTTTATCTCAGAGCTTTATCTCAGTTATTGTGATATTGGTGTAAAAAAAAACAGTGTAAGCTGGAAAACGCTGCTGCCATTTGTCATAAGAGCAAAAGAGACAGTGAAATACATTTCAGTGCAAAATCTACTGATATCTAGTAGATTTACCAGACATTTATCTACCTACAATATAGATATATAGTACAATACAGTATACATACTTAACAGACACACACACATATATATATATTATATATATATGTATATTTGTGCTTGTGTAGCATAAGTTGCACAGGTAAGAGTAAATGGTAAACCAAGTCCGGTTGATTTTCAGTTATGAAATGTTTGGAAACTGCCATGACAGTCATACAGTGTTAAAGGTAAAAAAACCCAGTCCAAGGTCCTTGCTGATAAACCAGGTCCTTTTGCACAGCACAAGGACTGGGATTTGGATGATTTTAAGGCATTGGAGTGGATTCCCTGTTGGTGTGGAACCTGCATGGCTTCACCAGGTTTTCTAGGACATTCAAGGAAAGTAAGGGGCCATTACGTTGCTTCATTTCACTAAAGCCAAGCCTCCAGCTCAAAGACAGATTCAGATGGGGTCATATACACAGAGGGGAGAATGCAAAAATGTCAGCTGGGAGAGTGGCCTTGGACATTTTTTCCAGTCATAAGAGAAGCAAGCCATCATTAAATGGCAAACTTGGAGAGAATTGAAGCTACCAGCACAATTACCATGGTAGGCAGGGGAACATCTCTCTCTGGTCATGGCCACCACTTGGTGCTGCAGGTCAAGTTAATAAAATGCACACAAGGAACCTCAGGCTGAGTTTCTAAAATGTGAGAATTTAGAGGAAAGAGACAATTCCTGGTGCTGCCAGCTTTGACAGAGTTTTTTGAGAGTCACACATGAGAAAATAAAGTTCTAAAAGATAGCAGTGCAAAACTTGTTCCTGAAGGCAATTCTGGAGTGAATGTGTTTTAGTACAGAAAACTGTGAGAGTTTAAAGTTATTTCCAGTTATGCACAACATGTACAGAATATATTCTGAAAATTTCACACCAGACCAGCTCTTTGCAGTGCTTTGAAACCCCCATTATACTCCAGTCACACACCTCTCCTCACAACCACCTCTGTGGGGAGAGAGTGCTCTTACTTCCACTGAGTAACCAGCAAGAAAAAAAGATTTAAATATTTCACTGCTTTGCCTACACTCCCATAAACTGTACCTGCAGTGAGGGCAGCTATACCATCACCAGCTTTAGACTCACAAGCTTGGTTAACAATAGAAATGCAGGCATTAGTGTTAATTAGAAAGCTAAATGCAGTCTAACTACACTGAAGCATCTACATTTTCACGGCTCATATTGCATAAATTAAACTAAGTATAAACAACACAGGTAGTCCTGACTCAAGACTACAATTTAGGCCTCCAAAATGTCACTAGGTAAGTCTTAGAGGCTTGGCAAAGGTCAGGGAGGGCATTATCTTGGCATATGGTTTTCATGGATCCCATTTTGTTTAGCAGAGCTCCCTCCCAAAAGACAAACCTTCATTTCACACACAACCCTTAAAATCAGGTAAACACTGAATTTCCACATCACTTGCAGACCAGCAAATAGGACATAGAAAATAAACTGGAGTGTTTGAAAATCACTGTTTTGTCACTGAAGCCAGATAAAGAGCCTGAGCTCTCTCTCTTTTGGAAATTTAATCTACTAGATGATGTTCTTTAGTCACAAAAAGTACATTGTATTTCCTATGCATTATAACTTTATTCACAATTCCCAGTGCTGCTCCAGAACAGTACCAAGAACATAAAAATGACTTTGTTTTTCTCATACTCAATTAATAAGCTCCCTTTACAAGTGTCCAGGGGCCCTCAGCGAGTCCAAGCCCCGGCCAAGAAACAAGGAAAGCTCTCCTGTAGCCTCGTGTTTTCACAACAAATCCACTTAGGGTTTTAGATGTGAGGCTGATACAGAAATCAATCTCTCTGTTTTCTATGCTAGAAGTGAGCCCTGGTTTTCAATAAAGAACATAATCCTGGGGGAAAGCCACATCCTAAATTTACATCAACAAAGACCCCACCACCACGAAGACTCTACTCCCACTAGACAAGGACAGGAATTTCAATGTTGCATAGAAGGTCTTTACAAAAAGACCTGTAAAAAGTCATTTATGCAATCGGAGAAATACATTTACCAAAAAGAAAAAAAGACATTAATTAGTCTCCTCACATTTTGGGAGTGCTTATTGCAGAAAGATTAGAAACTCAATGAAACAATTTCTGGCTTTGCTTTACTGCTAAAGGAAAGTGCATCAATTCCAGATTCTTATTACAATGAGTCTGAGGCAGTGGCTTTCAAATTTTCTTTGCTAAGTCTCAGCTGTAATCCTATACAAACCTGCAGATACAAATAGCATTACCATAAGTAAGACAAAAATATTAATTAAAATGTAGTTAAAAAAAGAAATCAACTTCCATTGAACAAAGTCTAAAAGTGTAATTTTGCTCTTCAGCTCCCCAATTAGTCATAAAAATGTCATAATTATTTTTAGAAAGGGATTTTGCTGATTCTGTTTTTGGAATAGTTGGAGAACAAGAACAGAAATATATTTACTGATTATTTTCTGAAGATAAATAGTTTTTATATATTTTTGTCATGGTATCCCTTTAAGGCCACGCTCATCATAAAGCCAAGCTCTCCAAACTTGAGTAGAAAGACAGCTTTGGTGTTAGAAATTGTGGGAGTTTTTATTGCAGCTCAAAATCCCAGGCAGTCCAGGTCAGAGAACCTCTCTCAGGGTTGGAAATCAGTGAGCCAGCAGTAACCAAAAATTTTATTTTTTGTAGATGGAGCTGCTCTTCCTGCAGTATCTGGCTCTCCAACATAATTCATCTGAAGTCAATGAAGTCCTCAATTTATTTCTAGCACGTCTGGCACTCCAGCACAAGGCAGCTGTTTCCAGGACTTCAGAAGCCATTCCAATATTCTGATTTATAATCTGTTACGGGGTGACAGCCACAGGCACCTAAGCAACAGGCCCAGGGAGAAGAGAATCAAGAAAAATGGATTCTAACTGAATCACTAGAAGGACTTTGCAGGAAAAGCTGAAAATAAAATCCTGACATTCATTCATTATACCAGGACTCAGGGCTGAGTTCAGGAGAGATCTTAATGGTACAGAACAAGATAGATTCATGTGAGTGAGATGAGCCTGTTTTACCTTCTTACACACCTGAAATTATCTGATGCTGCTTGCCAGTCCCTTAGTAATGAATGTTTTATATTGAAATCATCTTCTCCTTGAGTAGCCAGTGATGACAGAACCCTCTTCCTCTCCTCTGTGCTTTGGGGCAAGAGAATTTATGGGGTTTTGCTTCCTTTTTTACCACACCCTTCAATTCAGACTGTATCACTGTTGTTTTGCATATATGGGAAAAAATACAACTGATTTCTGTCCAGCACAGGCTGCATATACATCAAAATGCCATTTATACTGGTGATGTATCTACGTGCTTAAATAGTCAAAGTTCATCTACTGATTACCCAAATATTGCCTCTGAGAGATGTAATTATAGTCCCTCTACAAATGTGATTGCTTAAATTCACTTCCACTTCATACTGTGTCATTAGTCCACCCAGTTGTCATACAGACATCTGAAAAATAATAAGGATAAACCAGATCCATTTGACAATGACAATTTTAATACAATCTCAGTGTTTCAATTAAAAGTGAATAGATATGGAGAATGTAGGTAATTGCAGCACAGCCCCTCAGGCACAAAGACTCTGTGAAAAAATAAAAAATCCAAACATTCAGTCAGCCTGATTCACATGCTGGCTTCTGCTTCTGTAAGCAGGCAGACCCCAGGTTGCCAAAGGCCTTTTGTGGTATCAAGGCAGTGACAATAATTCAGGAGGTAAAAAAATGACCCTGTCAGGTAGGAAAGTTCCTTACAACTCCTGATTCCCTCTATTTCACATGTGCACTTGTGATCTTAGCATTGTCCTTCAGGCTTCTGGTACAATGGCATGAATATCACAGATTATGCATTGATATATATAAAGGAATACATAAATTATTGATGTATTAAAGGACACATGTTCATAGCCTTTATGCAAAGCTTCAGACACGGCTTCTGAGAACAGCACAACATAAAATTTCACCCAGGCAGTGGTGAGCATTGAAAGCCTGGCTGGGCTTCTTGGGTGTAGATCAATCCTGACTTGCAATTATGAATTAAAGCAGTGGAATCATTCTCAGGCTTTGACATTTACAGGTGGAAAATAGGGGTAGATAAAGAGTCTAGATAAAGCATCCATCTTGGCAGCTAACTCTATAAATTTCCCTAGTACCACTGATACTAAATGGAGAACTGGGAGTAAGAAGAGATGGAGGGCAGGAGGACATTAATATAATACACACTCTGTAATGTAGGAAATTTGTGTTATAATTTAGAATTTTTTTGGCTTTTTTTGAAGTATCTTGTCATGCTTTACTTTTAAAGACATGAAATAGTTTGGGACAATGCCATTATTAGGCATGAAATAGTTTGAGATGATGCCATTATTTTTAAACAGTGGCACTATCTTTGTCTTGGCTTTGTCCTGTAATTAGTGGTTGCAAAATGTGCTAAGCCTAGGAAATGGTCCTGTGCTTTGTGAAATATCCAAGCAGCAGGAACACGAACTGTTCATGTCTGTGCCAGTGAAGTGAAGCTCTATTTCACTTTTGTGGTCCCCATTTTTCTCAGCTGGGGATCAAACATCCCACCTGGAAATACTCCCTTGACATCTACTTAAGACTCACTTCAAAGGAAATATGAGCAAAAAAAAGATGAATATCAAATAGCCTTGTTCTTCTCTCAGAGCCAACATGTGGCACAGGCATATTCACAGCAACAACTCTTGAAAAAAAAAAAAAAAACCTAGATTTGTCCTAAGTTGCATTTGACGGTTTTAATTATCTGAGCATCTTCCTGCAGCAGTTTGCACACACACCATAAATGCCAGATGGAGTTTACTGAACACAGATGATTACACTTTACAGAAGAGTTTCTTTCCATCTGATTTCACTATCTAATTGCAAATAGGCAGGTAGACTCAGAAAACAGGTGGCAGGAGGAGAGGAAGAGGAAATTCACTGGCTGAAAACACTGACACCCTGTGCACCCTGATTTGTCCAAGCCACCCAGAGACACATCACTGATGTGACAGCTTCATCCAAGGCTTCTTTTTCAGCCATATTTTAAGAAGAGAGCAAAGAAGTATCTGTCACAGCAATGCACCTCTGGCTGGACCACAGACCATTTTCTATTGAGGAACTCTTGCATTCCAGGAATATTTATTTATTAATGCTGTGACCCTACTGAGAATTAAAACTGCTTTCTCCTGCTAACGTCTCTTTATATTAGCCATGACAGATCTCTGCAGACAGTTTTCTAAAGTGGTATATATTACATATTTCTAACTCCATGACAAAGTTCATCAGAGGGCAAAGAAAACACTGAAAGGTCAAGTAAAGAATAGAGTCTTTATGCCTGGAAAGTTATGAAGGTATGATTGATAAATACATATCTATTAATGTATGTGTATATAATGTGTGAGAAAACTGCCATTCCTTTACTCATTTCTCACATGTTATTTCATTTCAATCATGAAGAAGGCAGCATGTAAACTACTAAAATTATTATTGATTGCTCCTGTCAGCGTTCAGGAGTGAAGGAAACCTTAGAAAACCCACATGAAAATTATGCTGATACATTGTAATCTGGTTTGTACCCTGAAGATGAGGTGTTTACTGTCAACAATGCAAATTACACTTGACTAAGATACTAGATGTTAATGTCATTTTTTGTAAAGTTAACAAAATCCACTTTAAATATCATGAAAATGAGCAACCAGATATCCAAGTGTAGTACACATATATACATAAAGCTAAAGACTTTCACAAGAAAATGGAAGTGTTATTCAGGGTGATAATCAGATGTGCATTTTTTTAAGTTTTACTCAAGTTTTGACTCAGTTAGAGGTACAAGAGCAGGTATGAATGATACACTCTTGAAGAACGGTGATATCAGTATGCTCCAGTCAGACATATGTCCTATCATGCCAGAAAATGCAAAAATTTGATGGGTGGGATTTTTTTACTGTGTGGGAGCTAAATCAGCAGTGCAACTAAAACTTCTCAAAGCGCACAAGAAGGCTTAAATTATTGTGTGCCAAAAGAACTCAGGCCTTAATTGTGATATTCACTCCTTTACAGATCCAGAAGAAAGAAAGTGAGCTAAGAATTTTGCATAGTCTAAGGAAAGTAATCTACCAACACAAACCAGACTTTTTGCCTTCTATTTCCTCTGAGGCACGAATTAAAAAAATAACTGTGATGAGCTTCTGGTGTATTGAACATCTCTGGGCACACAGGACCGACTGCCCTCTGCAACACAGCCTCAGATCCCTGATTTCCATCCCATTCCAGCCTTTGTCACAACCAACAAGAATTTCAAAAGGGAGAAGGCACACAGGAACTCACCCTTGTGGTGTAAGCAGCTTCTGGGTCATCCTCCAGCACACGAGAGAGACCAAAATCGGAGACTTTGCACACGAGGTTGCTGTTGATGAGGATGTTCCGAGCAGCTAAATCCCGGTGGACGTATCCCATATCCGACAGGTACTTCATGCCAGATGCGATCCCTCGGAGCATGCCCACCAGCTGGATGACTGTGAACTGGGCATCATGCTTCTGCAAAACAGTGGCAATACCAGCTCAGGGATTGCTCACGCTCCTCCTCGCACGGATTTTTTGGGTAAGCACCCTGGAAACTGCTCAAATGAGGAGCTTGTGAGTCGGGCGTTGTGATTTAAATGCCACATGTTGATCTCCCAATCAGCTGAGGGGACAGATTTGCAATTCAGATAAAAATTCATTTTTCCCCCTTTCTTGCTGTCATCAGAGTTTTAATTTCCTAGATGGGACATGTGTGAAAGCAGCACATAAATCTGAGTTGCGTGTGTGCTCCTGAGACTGGAGTGTCAGGACATTAGAGAAACAGATGTCCAACTTCCCTGAAAGGCCACAGTGAAAATCCAAGCCCTCCCCAATGGCCTAATGAAAGTTTTCTATTACACAAGAAATTCATTTAACAGAAGCAGATATTGATCTGAGTCAGCGGCTTTCAAATTCCATTATTTTTAAACTAATTTCTTAAAATTTTCCACAACTTCACGAACACAAAAATTACTGAAACACATTACGACTTAGCCTAGAAACCATTAGTTGGATATATTTCTAATCACCTACTTCTGGGCATAATTTTAAATCTCCCAACTCTTACTAATCCTGTTTTTTACCATCTACTTTTGATATTGATATATGGATATATAGACAATAGGACAGCATTTGTTGTAGTGCAGCTCTCAGATGAATTGCCCAGTGCTGTAAATGTATCCTCATGGGCAGCTCTCCAACTCCCCGTGCTGCTGCTTCTGGAATTTTATGAAATACAGGGGAGCTGGCTCTGCCACGTGAGGTGATCTGACATGAATCAGCCTGCCAGACTGATTGCATCCATTTTTCATTTTTGATTACTGGACTTGGGGGTGATATTAGCACTGTAAACATTGGACAAATGTGTGACACAGTGGATCTTTAAAGAGTCTCTCAGAATTCCCCTTCATGGAGAAATCACTTATTTAAAAAGATTCTTAGCAGCTGTCTGTCCCTTTTTTATCAGAGCCAGCACAAGAGAATTTTATATAGACTCTGGAAAAGATTTAGCTAAAAACCAGAAGGTTTCTAACCATGAACAGAATCAGATGCTCAGAGAGCCTTTCAATGGCAATGGGGAAAGCAAACTAAGTAGTTCCAAAAGGCATTCATAAAAAGGGTTATGTGGCCTGAGTGGCCTGTGATATTAATGAGTCACAAGGTTCTTATCTATGTTTCCACACAAGAGTAGTAAAAAAAAAAAAAAAAAAATCACACTAAAATGAAAGAACAAGCTGAACAACTGTTCTGTGCAGTCAGAAATTATTCTCCTTTCCTCAGGGCTCTCTTCAAGGATTTCAAGCCTAAACAAAATATATATAGTTCAGTACAGAGATATTTCATTCAGCTATTCTGACACATTATTTATATGCATTTTACATGGTCCAGTGGACACCATAACATATATAGTACATAGTGAAACTCAGGTTGACAATCTGTCCCCTTTTGGGGTTAAATGTCTAGTTCAATGTTATGAATTTGGGGGATAATGTCACTCAACCGTGGCAGAACCAAAGCAGTCTCCCAGCCAAAGCTGAGTTTGCCCTAACAAATTAAAATTAAACCAGTGTTTCCCCTCAGATGGGATTTCATTTCTCCTACACTCCTTGTTTTGCCACAAGTAAATCTTGGTGACACAGGGAGGGTTCGAATTTTTTTAGGCTCACGACCAACTTTGACAGAAAACAAAGATAAATCAGCCACAGCATTAGGATGTCTAAGGTTGGAAAAAGAAAACAGGCCAGTAAACTTTGCTAGCCAAACATTTCTAACAACATCCTCAGGTATGGAGCTATTCTCTCAACGTCTCATTACTGATAAAATTTCCACAAATCCATTCATTTTAAAAATCTCTTGCTTAGACATAGAGGCTGCCAACCAATAAGCATAACTGCATTGCAGTCATCATTCAGCTTCCAGAAGAACAATCCTCATTTTTATGTGCCAGAATGTTATTTTGTTTTGTTCATTTTTAATAGATGTAACATACTAAAGCAACCAAAATTGTCTTACTTTTGGAATAATGCTTACTGCCAATGGACCAGCAGATCTCTACATGGCTTTCTGAGCACATCATGATGCTCACAAAATAAAAATAAAGGAATATCAAGAGCTGATGATGAAACAGTGCAGGGTGGCAGTAAAACCAGAACAAGTCCAGAAGAAGAGCCACTTCTGCCCCATTTAGTTTCCTGTTGTACTTACTCGTAGGAAGCTGTCCAAGGAACCATTTTCCATATATTCAGTAACAATCATAACTGGTTTACCTGAAAATAGAGCACAGGGGTCAGGCTTTTCCAAGGAACACACTGGAATACAATCAGCAAACCCAAGCATTTCAGGAATGTGTCCAAATCTTCCTAACCCCAAGGATAATTTTTACATTTAGAAAGGAAGCAAAAGCTGTGTGGGCAAACTGAGGGTGGGTGCAGATAAAAGTGGAAAGCAAAGTGCACAATAAAACACAGGGCACTGGAAAGAGAAGCAGAGCTGTAAGATGGGCATTCCCTCCTTCCAGGCACTCCTTCCCTCTGAGGTGGGATCCCTGACAGCACAAACTTGGACACAGCTGGGATCTAAACATCCTGCACCCACTGGGCAATGGCAAAATTCTAAGGAAACAGCCCTTGAAAAGGCTTTAATATTTCCCAAAACTCACCCACACATATTCAGATTGGTTTTTGAAACCATTCCTTCCACCCTAGGGCATTTTGTGACACAACCAAGATTTTATATGCAGCTCTGACATGCTGGAGAGAACCTAATGAAAAAATTAATGTGATGATGGGGAAGTTTTCAGACCAAGGTCATTGCCCTGCTAATATTTTACCATCATATGGATTTTATTATTTCATAATATTTACTAAAGCTTTGCTTATTTTCTCTTTGTGGTAGAGAGAAAGCTGGGTAAGAACATGAAGTTATTTAAGGAGATGAATTATTATTGCACATAAACTAGAGGAAGGCATCTGACCATAAAAGTAGGACAAAGGCCTGCATATTGTATAGTGGGCATGGTGAAATTTTAGCTTCTAAAATTGAACAGCATGAGGCTTGAAAAAGGTACCCAGTTGAACTAAGAGCAAGAAAGCTATTTAAAAAGTCAGGTAAATCGCAACAACAACTTTTTGTTTGTTTGCTTTTCAAAAAATACAGCTTGTACCAAATAGAAATCTTAGAAGAGAAACAGTAATTTCAAAGAATGAGTTTAAGATGAGAAGAACACCATGAATTAATGGGTTCAAATATCTTCTTTCTGTGCTACAAATGCTGTGTTATACTGTGGGAGTCACACTAACGAGTAATTGACTATCATCCATTCACCAGTAGGGAATACTGTATGCAAAATATTGATCTTGAATGATGTCAGAAATGATACAGATATGAGATCTAACGATGTAAAAGCTCAAACAAAAGATCTATTTATACTTATTCTTGCTAGCCAGAAACACACAGTTAAAGAAAAAGTACTTGCACTATGTGAGTAACATGAATTCAAAGGGATTTCTGGTAACACACAGAATATGCAGCTGGACCTTTCAAGTACAGGGCTATCCAAAACTTTGTATGATAAATCAATTTACTTTGCCCTGTACTTTGAAGCCAGGAGACAGGTGCCTGGTTTCTGTACAAACTCAGGCAATTTTACAGGACTTATCAGAAGAACTTAAATTAGAGTAAGAAATATGTCTCCCAAATTATTACAGGAGCATCTTCCTGCCTTGCTCACCCGCACACCAAAAGCCTTAAGTGCAGGGTTTCACTCTCCTTCAGTTGGAAATGTGCCCATAACAAGAAGCACATGCTCTAAAGTTTTAAAAGAACCCTCTGCATCCATTTATCAAAGCATGGCCGTTTATAAATGATAACAAGTTGTGTCAACAGTGTTGCCCAGGTTTATTATAATAGCAGGCTACAAATTGCTGTAAATTATTAGTAAACTAAGCAGAACATGTGTGCTGGTTCTTGAGACTGCTGCCTACAGTGTGCCCAAGAGTGCAGGGCAGCAGCTGGGAAATGCATGACAGAAATCCTTGAGGAGCAAAGGAACAATTCTACACTGGAGACCAGGCTGGAAGTCTGATGTTGTGATTGATTTGTAAAAAAAAAAAAAATCCAAACAAAAAACCTCCAAACTCACAACCTTCTTGTCCTTCTATCGCCCCACAGAATGTTTAATAAAACAAATAATTATATTTATTATTATATTTCCTTTGTGCCATATATTTTGCCCAGTAAAATGGAGACAAATAGCTCCAGAGCATTAAAAACTCCTATTTTGGAGTTATCTGGAGAGGGTGCTGTACCCCTGAGGCTTTATTGGCTTCAGCTGGGAATATCCAGCGTTTTCTCTCTCACAAATTGATGTGATGGGCAGCTGGCACCCCTGATCCCTCCCTCAGCCCCCCCAAAGCAGACAGCAGTGCTGTGAATACACAGGAGTAGCAAACTCACTAGGAGTCACTTGGGCAGAATACAGAGAGAATTAGAAATGCACATTCAAGAGCAACACACAAATTCCTACATGTACAGCATTTAAATTATTGTCTCAGTGCTCCGGGAATACAAAATGTAACAAAATAGATTTTAGCCCAGCTGTGTGCAGAGTGATGCTGGATTTCAAGTGATTTTTTGTGACAAAGCAGGAGATAAACCTCAATTTATGCAGGCAGACCTTTCCTAATAGGACTGTGAGACCTAAGATAAACAATAATTCTTTGTTATTGAAATCAGCAAAATAGACTTTCATGAAGCACACACAGAGAAGGCATTGTTATTATTATAATTATGGCTCTTCATAACATATATTGTTTTACATACCTTTCACTAGTGACTTTTAGACATATTCTGGTGTGGTTCTAATTTCTTATACTTTTCAGCAGCATACTATGAAATTTTTCCATACCCATCCCTGTGAAACTTTGAATCACCCAAAATTTTCTTAAAACTAATAAAACCACCCCTATTTAAACCCAAAGTATTTGGTATGTTTCTATCCAGTTAAACTAGAAACATCCTCAGCAAATTCCAGGCTCATCATTGAAATGGCCAAGAACTGCAAAGAGCAGAAGAGCAGCAGGGTCCTCTAGGATGAACAAGGAAATATCCTTCCAATTCCCTGAAAAATGTTGGAGCTCTCCTTTTTTCTTTTTTTTTTCCAAGATTGCCTCATAGAAAATCTTATTGATCTCTCCCTTAATAACTAATGTAGGTAGATAAATTTGATCACTAAATGTATCACTTCATTCTGCAGTGGAAATAGAGAAAGTGTGGCTGAAGAAGGTTGTTGAAATAAATTCCTTTTCCAGGAAGGTACCAAAGGTACATGGAGGTTTCAGTTAAATTTTTTGCCTCAAAAAGAGAAGGTGATTTGTTATCATAAACAAAGACCAAGAAAATGCTTTAACAAAAGGATGAAAAAGAAGAAAAAAAACAACCCAACCAAACCCATAACAAAAGCACCCAAGGGAGATTTAGAAAAGGCATTTAAGTAAATATATGCAGAGGGACATAGATAAAATTAATGGTACTACTGACAGATTAAATTCTCAAGACTTCTTCTTTGAGATTTTTACCAAGATGTTTGAATTCTGGAATTCTGGAGCTTTAAAATGCCTTGTGCTGGTACATACTGAATATCCCATGGAGTATTTCCCCTGCATGAAAACCATCTAGGAAAAAAGTTTGGCCTTATTAAATAATTCACTAGACCCGGTTGTTGTACCAGGTTGCTGTTCATTAATTGGTGCTAATGACAAATGTAATGATTTAGCTGAAAGCAGAACACAGTGCAATTCAGGAAGCCTCAGCACATCAGACTCCATGACTCCTTACCAGATCATCACCCAGTGCCTCTTGGCCCTTTTGGAGCAATTTGTAACTCTGAAGTTTATTAAACTTGCCAATTTATTATTGAGCTTTTTGGAGAGCATAAACCTGGATGACTTCATTTATAATTCACTTTTGCTCTCCTTTGGTTGATCAGCAGATCAGAGAATTATTTAGGCTGGAAGGCACCTCCATGACACCTTCCATGCACAGATGTCCCTGGCATTTCTTACTTTTAGTGACAACTCCCTCCAGTCTGATGATGTTGGGGTGGTCAAACTGGCCCATGATGCTGGCTTCTCCCAGGAAGTCTCTCCTCTGCTTTTCTGTGTAGCCAACTTTCAGGGTTTTGATGGCCACTGAAATTTCCTTTTTAGAAGGCAGCTTCAGGCGTCCACTGCACACTTCTCCAAACTCTCCTAAGGAAAGGAGTGGAAAAGTGACAAAAGCTGAAATGCAGGTATTTCGTAGGGATTCAACAAAGAAGAATCAGCACTCCAAAAAGCCCCTGGAATGTGGTGTATACTGCTTTATCCTTTTGCAATATGCAAGAACAGAGCACATGGAAAACCATCTTAGCATCCAAAAAGAGGAAGTATTAAACATGTAGAAACTGTTGGAAAAAGACACCTCACTTCAAGTTTTTTTAAAGTTAACAAATTTTTACAGAAATCGCCTAAGAAAGTTTCAAAATGTTATGATTTCAAAGCCCCTTTTCAGCTTTTTTTTCTGTTTTTTTTTTTTTTTTGGACAGCCAAGTTAATCAAAAAAAGGCCTGAATAAATGTGTGGTAGGGCAATGACCTTTCTCTGCTGCTAACCCAGGCTAGATGTGAGTCAACAACATAGAAATTAATGTCACCATATCTTACCACCAGCTGCTTAATCCTCTAGGCATAGAAGTGTACTATCAAGGTAATAACCACTAAAAGGAGGATATATCTTTATGTACATACATGTTGCTAAAAAGCACTGACATTACATCCTTTGATTCTAACACTGTTTGTATTTCAGGCTGCCAAGACAGGCAGCAGCTCAGAAAACAAATTTTAAAAGCTACTACTAGTAACTAATGGGAGTTGAGTTCTTTTCAGACTTAATTAAAAGCATTCAACTTCTGCAAGCCCAAATGACCATAATACTTCACCAAGAGTTCAAACACCAACCCCAGCTCAATAGTGTCAGAGCACCACAAAATAGGAAGACCAAAGCACATCTTGAAAACAGAGGGAAGGGGAAAAAAGGCTTGAAATAAATCTTGTAGCACCCAGCTTCCAACTCCATTTTCTTGATGTTTTAATGGTCCAAAAAGCTATAACGAGCTAAGCTCTTACAACTATTTTACAGTTACTGTCAATGGAGACTTCAGCTATGATTTCAGCCAGCAGCCCAGCAATCAATCCTTCATTTTAAAGCTGGAATCGTGTATCTGATATTTGTTTAACTTCTGGGAAGGAAAAGGTTACGGGTAATGTCCATCAACACAGTCCCATTTAGCCATGGCTGAACAATCCAGAACTTGAGTGATTAATCAGATTCCAAAAGCACCTCAAAGGCCAGCAGATGCTGCAAGAGAATAAAAGGTGTGCTCTTTCTAGCAATGAAGTTTGCTGTTGTCTGTGGATATAAAGCAGGTTTACTTTCTTGGAAAATGATTTCATTGGAAAGAGCTCCCTAAGCAGCCCAACTACATTAACCTATGATTTTTTATATCCAGGGCAGCATGGATGCTAAATACATTTATCTGGTCGACACCCATAGTGACCTATGCAGTTATTACTATTTTTCCTGCTAATTATTACCATATGATCCCAGTAAGAAATGGACTGGGTCTCACCAGACACTGTTTAGGAGGAACAAGGGCTTGTGTTTGAGTGGAAAACCTGGCAGTGACTGTAAGATATGAGGATGATGGCTTTACATAGAAAGCCTTCCTGAGGTGTTTGTTTGTAATGATAAAGATTGTATAACCTGCCCTGCAGACTGGTGTGCCTATTCACATGTGGAAAGCTGATAAGGATTATTTAGGAGGGCTGTTCGTGGCACAAAGATCTCTCTTCAGGATACCCTAATTTCTTTTTAAATAGGTTATTTAGTACATCAGGGGATGGCATTTGCTGTGCATTTAGACTCAGGGGAACAGTAAATGAAGATTCTGTGAAACCAGCTACTCCCTTCCCTTTGCTGCATTTTAAATCTGTGCAGAGAACTCCCTCAGATTTGGAGAGGCACCAAAGCTCAGTGTTCCATAAACCTTGGGAACGTTCTAGCCCTTCACTGGGACACTGCAAACCTTCACAGTAAGTTCATAGACAGCTGGCCCCTGGATTTTGTGACTAATTTGATCAACAAGATGTTGTGCTACAAGTATATTTCAACTTTGGAAGAAAACCAAATGCTTGCTTTCTTGTTCAGCAAAGGACATAGTTAAATCTACCCCAAATCAAGAAAGTACTTTCTGTAGTATTCTCCTACTGCCCATTTGGATTTAAACTTCTGAAGTGGTTTGCTGAACTGAATCCATAAAAAATAAGTGAGTTATTTTAAAAGAAAAAATTACTGTAAAGAAAAATCTGAAAAAGTGGCTTCTGACCTTAATTTTCTTATGCTTAGCCTCCCACTAAAGTCCCTTGCGTTTTTCTTGAGGTTCTTTTGGATAAGAATATTTCCTTATTGCATTTGTGTGTGTTTTCAAAGCTATGTAAGCTCTGAAAGCCCTCTCTTCTCAGAGACTTCTGGCTAGAGCTGTGAAAAACTGCTTGGAGCACTTCAGAATGTCGAGACTGCTTGCCTGACTTGAAGGTCTCCTTACTTACGTCACACTTCAGGGCAGTAAAATGAGTCCCTTCTTCTCAAATCCCTGTCTTTTTTATAATTTCATTCACACTTGCCTTGCAAAGGACAAGGGCAGGAAGAGACCAAGCCATTCACTCAAACAAGTCATTGACTCAGCAAGAGGCAGGAAATGCCTTTCTGGTTTTGGGGAGAAGTGTTCCTGAAGAAGTTGCCTCAGAGGCACTCAGTGTAAAAGCTCCCACGTGCTCAGGGTGATAGCAGTGTAAAGTGATGCCACAAACTCATTTTGGAAGGTCCCAGCACTCTGTGGCCTGATTTTCATCTGTTCTTCCCTTCCTGGCTCTTCCTGTTGGCATCTCAAGCAACTGCTAAGAGGCAATGTTGACTATAATGCTTTATGTACTATGTGAATTGAGTTATGGTGCCCCAAAAAAAAGGTGTTATTAGAACTTGAGTGCATGTTTTAATGTAAAAAGCTTGCAGGAACCCTCTGCCACTTAATTTTGTGGGTTTGAGCAGTGTGCTGATAATGCCAAGGTCCAGGTTCAATCCCTGTGGGATTCACTTATGAGCTGGACTCCACAAATCTTGGGGGTCCACTCCAACCCAGAATAACCTGTGGTTCTCACTGCAGTGCAGCAGAGAGACTTTTAAAACACCTGCCTCCGTTAGGACATAGGCCTTTTTTGGAGCCTCTCAAAATATTTTCTCTGATTTCGGAGGCCCTATTTGACAAATTTTGGTTTACTCCTTATTCTACTTGACTAGAAATAGGTCAGAACAACCAAGCTGTAACACATGGCATGATCCTTAGGAACTTCTTTTCTAGATTCATATACTGCATACAGCCCAAATTTAGAGAGATTGCATTTGTGAGGTTCCTGAAAGTCTTACAAGGAAACACACTGCTCCTGGACTTATATTTAGAGTATTCCTTCTTCTCCATCCCTACACAAATTCCCTGTTATGTGCAGTAAGCAGAGCTTTGCTGTCTTAACTGAAGCTGATGGAGAACAGTGCACTCTTGTGGGGCAAAATTAAAACCAGCAAGGAACACAGATTACACCTTTCCATAAAATAACTTCAAACTGAGAACAGTTGAGTAGCTTCAGTAGGAGAGGATGAAAACGGTTCCTTTTTTTTTGCTGGGTGATTCAGGAGATGCACTGAGTACAGTTCCTTGGGTTCTACACTTTTTCCAGCTGAAAAACTTTTGCTGTGCACTCGGAGTCTGTATCTCACATCTCACGGTTTTAATTCAAACCGTATGCTTAGTGAGAAGCCAAAAAACTCAATAATAAAGGAACAAGTATTTTTCAATGGATTAAAAATCAATAGTACTCCTCATAAATGCTTTAATATAGGAGGAAAGGTAACAATCCATGATCTTCTGCCTCAATGAGACAATCTGCCACTTCACTTCAAGGAGGAAGCACATATTCTATCAGGAGCTACATGCTCCATTGCAACACTCAGTGTAATGAGAATTTCTTTAATCTGGCTCCTCTGTTACGAAATCTGATCATTTCACCAGCTTGTTTCCTGTAAATCCAACAATCTGTGGCATCTTTATGGCTCAGACAATCAGTTATTGGACAGACAACCCTTCCCTCCTAAATCAATAATTCAAATCCAAAGCAGTGACCAAAATCAATCCAAGGACCAAAGGTCACTGCAGCCTGATGGATGCGTGGTGACTGCTATGAAATGAGTTTGTGGTTTCACCCAAGGCATAATAGTCAAGAGTCCTTTTATGGGGAAAAAGGAAAAAAGAGAAAACATCTTCACAGTTGATAACATTTTCTGTGCTGTGCTGACAGATTTTAAAGAGAAGCGAGAAGTGAGGCTGAATGATCTTTTCCTTTCCAACAGTGGTACACTTAAGTATGGGCTTAGTGTCCTTTGAAAAGCTGTCTTGCTGTCTCCCTTCTTTGAAAAAAAAAAAAAAAAAAAGTCCTTTGAAAAGCTGTCTTGCTGTCTCCCTTCTTTGAAAGAAAAAAAAAAAAAAGCGTGTGCCCTTAACTTTGCACTGAAATCAGCTGTAAATGTGACCTGCAAATTTGAAGTCTTTCTAGAACATTTTCTTTCCAATCACAACAATGAACCTAAAGATATAAAACAGTATACAGATATACACAGCAAAAAGCTACCTTCAGTTCAATATATCTGGTGGTCATTACCTGCTCCAACTACTTTATCAATGGATATATTGGAAGCATCCAGTTCCTTGGCAAATTCATGCACAGCTTGGTTGGGATCCTCATACGTGTGTGGATCTACGTACGTTCTCAGACCTGGGAGCTTTACTGTGTAAAAACAAATTCAGAGAGAAAATGTTACTTAGACTTGAGTAACCTTCCTAAAGAAAGCTCATGAGACAACCAGAAACCAAATGAATAGAAGGCAAAGGTATTCTTCAAATCACGTTGGTTTTTGTGGGTCTTCAGAATCTTAGCACAGAGACACTAATGTACTGCAGAGAAGTGTGACAACCCATTGCAAATATCTGCACTTGCAGTATTTAACTGTTTTTCCAATATTAAAATACCACTCACCTCTCCCAGGCTGCTACATTTAGATGCTGCCTTATATTGACCCTTCCAAAGTAACAACAAAGGGGCAAGGAACAAAATGTGTTGCTACAGTCAACCTGAAAAGTTCTTAGGAATATATTAAGAAATCAGATTAACTCCAGCTTTTTTTTTTTTTTTAAGTCCATCAACAAGATGCATAATAAGAAACTTATACATGAAAAAAATACACCCCTGCTTCAATCCCTCTGCCAGAACATACAAGGATGGCAGATGATTGTTCTGAATAAAAGCTGGTTCTAGAGCTTTATTCCCCATCCATCCATGTTATTATTTTGGCCCCCTCTAGAGTTTCCTGGCTAGGGATTGCTGGAAGAGATCATTCCCAACCTCTGCTTCCAACAAAAAAAGCTGCAAGCAAAGCACAGGCTCATTCCCCTTCCCCAGCTCAAAGCCTTGCTTGTGTTTGCAGCCAGTACCTTCTGTGCCTGCCTCTGTTGTACCCATTTTACAACAGGAATATATTTTATTAACAAAAAGTGAAATACCCAGCTTGAAGCTTTCTGCTCCTGACACAAACCCTGCATTCCCAGACATGTATTCCAGCTTTCCCTAACTGTACCAGCTGGTCTTGTAAAAGATATTAACTCCTTCAACAAACACTGCTTTAACCCACTCAGGAATATCCTTTCCAGCTTAGCATTATTATACTGCAGCAATTTTTTCACTGCTAAAATAGTTAAACCTTTTTTTGCTGCTGTTGCATAGATGGGAAAAAAATACCTTTGGACCATGAGAGCACAAAATTGTTCTATCAAACGATGTAAGGCATATGTAAAAAAAAATTAAAAAAAAATCAATTTTATGGGGGTTTATTGGCCTCAGAATTGACAAAAAAAAAAGATAAATTGAGCTCCCAAGTTAATTGCCTTGAAAACAATGCAAAGTAAGAGCCATGCTCTCAACACAAGGGCTGCGTGTGCACGACATTAAAAGCTGACTGTGTTTCCTTCAAGAGCCTGATGATTACAGCATTACCTGCAAGTAAAACAAAAAGTAATTGGCTGTATATTGCTGTTGGTTAAAAATCTTGTAAATGCTCCTTCCCCTCCATGCTGAATGTACATTACAGGCCCCCTCACATCCCCAATAAAAATAACAATTAAAAGCTTCTGCACTGTGGGGTTTTTGGCTTGGGATTTTTAATGCTGACCCCAGAGGTTCCCAAGATCAGGTGATGGTGGCTGCAAGGAGAATAATCCCTTCACACCAATAATTAAGGGCAGCCTGTGTAGTAACTGGGTTCTGTCATGAAATACAGATAATAAACACGTGCACATGTGTTAAGCTGCACTACTTTACAGCTCATTCTGTGCAAACATCATAATTTACATTTTCATTTTAACAGCACAAATTGCCCTAAAGGTAGCAAAAAAATAAAAGGCCCAGCCAGAGAAGGCAAAGGGAGAGGATCTGAGGAGGTGAAACATTTTTGTTCCTTTGAAGTAATATTATAGGATTTGTAATAAGGCTGCAGGGAATAGTTCATGGCTGGAGCCTTTTTAAAAGTAATTCAGAGTAAACTGACTGAAATAAACCAGCTGCTGTATTTAAGATGCTGAAAGTTTACGACAGCCATGGAAGTTACTTTGTCCTTTCTTAGTTCATAGGAGCAATTTTCCTGTTCTTTGGGAAAGACTGTAACTTGGTAGATTAAAAGTTTCAACAGCCACACATACATACATACAAATTCTAACAGATAAATATCTGCAAAATCTATGATGCAGAATTTTCAAGAACTTCTAACAGACATACCAGGGCCATGATTGGCTCTGGTCTTACTGCATAGTGAATCAGCATGGCACTACTCAGAAAACAGTACATAAATATCTAAAGCCAAATTAAAAGCAATTTAATCCACAGGAATTTAACAGCACTGACATGCTTAAGAATAGTGATTGCAACTTTCCATTGTGTGGGAGTAAGGAGAGCAAATTCTGACCTGTTATTTGTCTGTGACACTTATTTTACTGGCTGCTTTTATTTTATAACCTCATTAAATTTGGATGATGAAGCATTAATTCTATGGGCCACATGTAACCGTAGAGATTTTTTTTTGAGAATAGTTGGTTAGCAGTTGTTGGGCTGCAGCTCTTGTATCCCCTGACAGTGCAGGGGAAGGAGACAGAAATCATGGATATTCATGCTCTTGGCTCTCTGGAGATAAGGAGGGGCAGGAAACTTAAAAGAATAATAATTTGAACAGTCAGAGAACAGTTATTCCATTGTCACGAGGATTGGGGAGCAGTTCTAATTTCCAGCTGCTGCAGGTAAATCCCTCATTAAAATGTTAATTCACTTATATTTGAGGAGGGCCACCTGATTATGGTACCAGCAACTCTTTTCTTGCTATAAATAGTAGAGTGCCAATGTTGTGTGCAAAAAAAAAATCCATGTATATTAATGTTCCAACATGCTCAGCAACAGAGATATATTGTATATTGTTGAAAACCATTGTTCCATGGTTCACACAGTATAGCAGGACACTCATCTGCAGCTAAAACAGTTTCAAAGATGAACTACTGCTTCTTATTAAATAAAGCCTCATTAGACATCAAGAATTATGTAGGTTAAGAAAAAGGATTTTCTGGTCTTGGTGTCTATGAGGGGCATTATCTTTGCCTGTAAGGATATAAAAATCCAAAGCACAGTGATTAAAAAAAAAAACCAATCGAGTAATCCTTCCATTCCTGATCAGGAATTTAAGCTATCACCTTCTTTTCCCCTCAGCTTCTCCTGCTCCAAAACTATTTTTTTCCCTGTTTTAAGGGGTGTATGGATGGAGCTTTGCCTGTGAGCCAATCTTCAGGATCCACAGCTCTGCTGTGGAAAAATGTAACAAAGTTATGCACACTTCAAAGAGCATCCAGGATCAGATGATGACTATTATTTGTAGGTGAATTTTGTCAAGCAAACAATTTTCACAGCAGCTTGAGTGTTCATCAAGATGGGTTTAATTGATTTATATTTTGCTTTGGGAGAGAAAAACAGATTTCTCAGAGTTTATATAATGAGGAAGTTGCAGCTGCACTCTGGATTTCAGTGATGCACAGCATAATCAATATCACAATTCCAACCACATGCATTGTTTCAACATAGACAGAAATGTTTTGCTCATTACTAACCTGAACACAGATGAAAGAAGGAGAAACAAAGAATAATTGTTTGGGGAAAATCTCCTTACCCACAAGAGAGGGATAATTCTCTTCCTAATATCACCTTGGTTTAAGTGAGATATGGCTCTTATTTTTTTTTTTAATTGAAAAATATCAGTTACCTAGGGGATGAATTCAACAGATCTGCATTAAAAGGCTTCAGTAACTTACAATGGCCATTCCCAAAATGCAGCCTTTTCTCATCAGTGCCATGTTTAGACTTCTTGTATCCACAGAATCTACAAGCAACAGAGAAAAAAAAAATTAATACAGAGAATTTTATGTGTTAACTGCAGGTGGAAACAGAATAGAATGTTTTCCCTGCACAATTAAAAGCCTGTTTGAAAGTTTAATGATATTTACATTCTCTGTGCCCTATAGAGGCATGTGATGTTCTCAGGGAATTTGAGGAAATTGGCTAATGAGAGGATTTGTTGATTTTTGACCCCTACAGTTTAATTTTACAATTGCCTGAGAATGTGTTTATAGCATTTTTTAACAACTGCTGCATGATTTGGGCTGCTGATGCTAGCGGGCTCATTACTGACTGTGAGGCAGTGTCTGGAGCTCCTGGGCAGCAGACAAAGGGCTCAAAAAAGCCACACCATGACACCCAACGTGCCATGGTCATCAGAGCCCCTCTGGGACCTGGCAACAGGAGAAAATGTGCAAATCACAGCCCAGACTCACCTCCCAATCAAGACATACACCACCACTGTGAGGAGAATGATGGCCACTGCTGCTGAAATGGCAATCATCACCACCTGGCTGTTCTCACTGGAGATGGAGAACGCTGCAAAGCCAACACAAAAATGTATAAATATAGAATAAACATATAAATAACCTCACACACACATCTCGTTGATGGCATCAGAATTTACATGCAGATAGAGGACAGACATCATTATACAGCATTTGGTCTCCTGGCAGATATTTAATCCAGGACATAATTTTTCATCAAACAAAAAATTACAAGGGAAGAAAATATAAGACTCCAGCCATCTTTGCCAATCAAAGTTGTTTGTGCCACTCTCAATTTTTTCTCTTGCTAATTGTAGCAACTGCTGGCAAACTGATGCCAATATATAAACATGTACACAAATACAAACATACATGTCATGTGTGTGCCACACATACTTTATGTCACGCTCAGTACATTTTCCTTGGCAGGAAATCCCACAACCATCACCTCCACTTCCCCTTCTGCATGATGGGAAGTGCTTTTAGGAGCTAAGTTTCCCAGTTAAGCCTGACAATATCCACATGAAGGCTGTGGAAAGCCAGGGCATTAAGGCACAGATATCTACAGGGAAAACAAGGGCTATTTTCTGCCTTATTTTGGGTATCTCCCTGTGGTCCCTAAGCATGAACCTTTAGACTGGATGACTTTAGACCTCTGGTGTGAGGATCAGTCTCCAGCAGAGACCTCCTGAGCACAGCAGAATTAAAGTCCTCAAGTCAGCTGCCCAAACTGAGCTGGGAGCAGCCAGTCCTGGCCCACACAGGTTACAGAGCTCTGTTTGGGGTCACCCCATCCCCATCTCTGCCTATTACACACCCACAACTGCACCTGGTCATGGCAACTCGGTAACACAGCAACAAACTTATGCCATTTGTTGATCACCTGTGTAATTTGTCTGCTTAATTTTGAGATGTGCATCACTCATCACTGTCTCCTTCCACGTTTCTACTTTGCCATTTTCCCCTTCTTTTGGTAACACCATTTTGCAGAGGAAACTCATTAACCTCTAAACTGTTGATTTTTTTATCTTTGCAACTGATTTATTCCTCCTTGCTGTAATTGTCCTATCTTGAGTTCTAGTTTCACTGTAACAGCAATTTGTGACTCTTTTTTTTTTAACATGAAGTTTGTTTGCCTTTCAGAATAACAGCTGGGGTGGAGAAGGAAGAAGTGGGGATGAAACACATAATTTGTATCTCAAATATAGACAGAATCAGAGTGGAAGGTTTGGCTTGACATGACTGTTTTTTTTATATCACACTTCGTCCCCCAGCAAGAGCCATGGTCTAGCAAGGCATCAATTCTGGCCTGAGGTAGGAGTAAGGTAGGGAATGGAAGAAAACCCCACCTGTGATAGTTCTGGGACACTTTATAGCCTGTTTCAAGCTTAATGACAAAACATGAAGTTATACAGCAATGCTACCAAGAGAGACACATCATAAACAGCTATGAGACACATTTCCTCAGCTAGAAAAGGAGTGAAAGCAGCCATTGAGAGCAGTGAGGAGCTGGGCAGGATGTCAGCACAAGCCATTGGAACAAATACATACAGTCTGGGCTGGTCTCAAACTCGAACTTGCGGCTGCTGGTCCCGTATCCAGCTGCAGTCCGGGCTCGGATCTGGAACACGTAGGTGGTGTCAGGCTTGAGGCCACTGATGGTCACGTTGGTGCCTCGGGCTCTCAGAATAGTATAGCTTGTCTCTTGTTCCTGCTTTTGAAAAAAAAACACATTATCAGATTAAAACCACACCCTAAAAAAAAAAAAAAAAAAAAAAAAAAATAAGAGGTGGCTGATACTGAATTACTACAAACATCCTGGAGGGGACTGGCATATTTTTGAGTATTTACAGCCTAACAAATGCTTGTACAAACATTCATTTTCAATCATCTTTTAACAAGATATCTTAAATCATCAGATTTGCTGTGGTATTGTGCTGTAAATCGAATACTAGACATGCTGAGTTTATGACATTTTATTAAATGGGTTTGCATCATTTTGTCTGTGGTCCCTAATACAACAAGAAAATTATTAAAAGATTATTTAAAAAAACATAAATCAGGTTTGCCTACTGCACTGAACTGGAAGTTGTAACAGGCCAGTTTAGACATTTTAGGGCCCTGCAGAGCTGTTGCAGGATGCAGTTTTTACTGCCTCACATTTTACAAGACAGTGGTTACCTTTATAATAGTCAGAAGGGAAACCCCACTTGGGCTCCTCAGCTCAGCAAAAAGGCAGATTTAGCTGGTTTTCTATTGTGCTATAAAAACTATGAGATAGTTGTGTCCATCCTCATTTGGACAAAACCACACTGAACTCAATCCTGGACTCTGTTCACAACCCCTCTCTGCTTAAGAGTCACCTATGTCTGACATCATGTTTTTTATATAAAACAAGAGGAGGATTGGTTTGTAATTTGGTAAGTTTGGATACACTTCACACTCTGTAAAAAACTAATCCTGATAAAAGTATGTCTCAGTCCCATTGTAAGCACATAATCTCATCATTTAAGCATGCATTTGGAGCCTGAGGTACTGCTTATTTTACTAAAGCCATCTCGTACCAAAAGAGCATTTTTGGCTTCCTAAATATGGCAGCTGGAACTGTCTCAGGGAAAAAAAAAAAAACAAAAAAACCCTCTTGGCCAGCAGCCACACATGTGGGAAACTGTGAGAATCTCAATTGTTTAGGTTCCCCACCATGAACTCTTTTTTAAATTCTGGAGGTGGTGGGGATTTCAAGTGATGCCCTCTTGCTTTGAAGGCTGCGCGAACACTGCAGCCATTGAATCGCGCCGGGCTGAAAGCAGAACGCGCGCGGGCACCTCACCTAATTCTCATCACGTTTTATGGCTCTGCATTAGCTGGTGAGGGGCTGACATTTCAACTCTGACAACACTGGAGTGCCAGAGCACGAGCACAGGGGTTGGAAAATACCCAGCACGCTCATTGCCGGGGCCATTTCACCTCCACGTGTAAAGTTCAAGTGACTGGAGCTGTTTTAGTGTGTTTGTTCCTGTCTGCAGGAATAGAGTCGGGATATTCTAGGTTAGTAGGTGAACATCAGAAACTGCTCACTTTGGTGCTAAAGAAAGCCTAAGTGCCCTGTTCTTGGCAGTCTTTGATATAGAGAAACAGAAATATTTACACCACAGTTAGGGGAATTGCCAGAATCTCCACGTAATATTCAACATTATGCTCGTGAGAAATCATAGTGAAAGGAAAAAAAAAGAAAGAAAAAGAAACCAAACAAAAAACCAGAAAAAGTAGCTAAGCCTGTGCCTAAAAGTTACCATCCAGAATCCAAACCTCAGATAGGGTGAGCTGGAGCCAGTCTTCAAAGAATGACTATAAAAATGTTGACCATGGCTCATTTTCTTTGCACAGTAAAAGTAAAAAGGAAATCAGCGTTGGACCTCCTCAGAGTTTCCTAATACTTCTCTAAAAAGTTCTCTGTTCTAAATTCAGGGGAGCAAATTTACAGGAAGACACTCTAAAGAGCTAACAGGCTTGCGTAAAATTATTTATTTTTGAACTAACAAAGGCCTAGTATTATAATTTGCAAGCTTTCCTTATCTTGTCATTCAGCTGGATGTAGGCAACTATTTTAATTTCAAAGACATAATAATCTTGTCTTTAAAACACAACATCTTTTGTGTATGCTATGACTGGACATTCATTTTGATCTTGCTTCAGGCTGCTTTTATGAAATGCAAACATTTCCTTCTGGTGCAGATACATACGTGCAAGGGAAAATACAGTCATGGCCCTGTCTGTTAATAATCCACATTGGAACTTGGAAAATAAACCCTTAAAACAATGGTATGGAGGATGTCATGGTATCTCAGTTTATGGGAAGCTTTTTACACACATATTTTGTAAGTCATTTTTTATGTTACTAGTAATCAAATCAGTGCAACACCACATAAAAGCCCAAGTTTATCTTTCTTGAGGATAAAGCAAAACTTCAGAGATACAGCAATATAGCTGCCATAAGCAGAAGGAATACACAAAAAGGAGAGTCAGTCTTTGCCAAGCAGAACTTTAACCAAACACTCCGAGGATAAATTTGAACTTGGATGCACAAAGCAATTTCTTCCTGAATATTTCTGCATAGTTTACCAGACACAATCTTTGCTGGGAAGCAAATCCTACTACTGCCAGTATCTCATTTGCAAGTGACATTTTAAAATTTTATGCTTTGTTTTACAAAAACCATATTTTGGAGACATTTAAAATTGATAGTGGTGGTACAAGTAAGGGTGAATGTTTTGCCCTTTTCCAGATAAGCACAGAAAGTGCTTATCATAGAAGGACAAATATTTTTTTCCATCAGCTTCACGTGCACTTGAGAGGCCAAAACCTGACTACCCATTGCTGGGAGGAGGGCACAGTCCTGACACTGCTTCCCTTATTGCCAAAGTGAACTCTTCATGGATATGGCATTTCCTACAAGTCTTGTGAAGTATTCGTGGCCTACCTGCATTAACAGCCAGAATAATAACAGTTTAAAAGCAACAAAGTGCATTTGAATATAATGCACTTTTCCAGCCTCAAAGGGCAGAGCTCTGTGTTGGCTGTCACCACTGATCACACAATTCCTATGATGGCAAAAGCAAATCTATTTTAGCAACATGAGCCTGCAGCTGAATTTCATTCATTGTTTGCAGAAGGCTCCATCTTAATAAAGTGTACGTGACTTAATTGCAAGCCACATATTTAGCTGAAACAATTAATAGTTTATGAGTGGTATTTAAGAGATGGCTTTTTCCTGTACCTTCACATGACAAGATACTCCTTCAAGAGAACATGATTATGTGAGCAAGAACAAGGAGGAAACAAAGAATGGGGCTTGTGCAAAGAAAAAAAATGGCTTTGTTGCTTATGCACTTTGATGGCTGAGACACTTAAAATTCAGCACAGCATTATATGGATGAACTAAACTGAGGTGTCATTTAGTACCATTAACTTAACATAAAATGTTATGCCTTACCATAAAATAAATGCCTAAAAATTCCATATGGTCTCCCTCTGAAAGAAGGTTTTGTTCCTTTTAAAAGTTTTGAATAAATATTCACTGGGGCTTCATAATAAAGCTCTAAATTTTTTTTTGCAAAAAATACAATTCTATTCCAACCACTGCTTCTGAAAAACTACCACTCAGTTCTTCATGCTATGAAGTGTTCAAAGCCTGGTTGGATGGGGCTTTGGGATAGTGGAAATTGTGGAAATTATCCCTGCAGGGATTGCAGGGGGTTATGACTGGATGATCTTAAAGGTCCCTTCCAACCCAGGCCATTCTGATTAATTCCAAGAAGTTAAAATAGTTTTCTAAAGCTGTAGCTACTAATTTCTTTAGACACATATAAAGTTCTGCTCTTTTGGCTACACAAAGGCAATTACTGGTGAAAAAACCCAAATGAGCAGGTTAATTAACTACCCTCGAGAAACTGAATATATTTCACATATTTTGTGACAATAATCCATGAGAAAAAACTACAAGATATTACAATTTAAATACATGACATTACACTTTTAATTCCAAATCTCTTGTAATGTACTAAATACCTTGCTTAAGACCAGCTTAGCAAAATAATGTCAGGAACAAGATGTATGACAGAATTGGGCTGACCTGCATTGCTCTATTAATGCTCTGGTTTTTAAATTCTAAGAGATGACAAAAGGCATATCAACTGAAAACAAGCAGGATGAAAAAGGAAGGCTCAACACAAATCACCTACCAGCAATCAGGTACAGCTTGTCAGGAGAAATACCCAGATTTACTAACTCTGAAGGGTTTATTTCCACTTAACAGCAGAGGATTTTCTGATAAGCACAACCAAGATGATTTCTGAAGCAGAAAATCAAATGGACTGGACCAGTTTGAAAAGAAACCTCTCCATTTAAAAGAGGAGGGAAGAAAGGGTGCTTAGACTGAACAGCAGCATCTTCCAAAAGTGCAGGAATGAAGAGTAACAACTCTGCATGAGCTGCTCTGGCCCCAGGTATGTCTATCAGAAAATTAGTTTTGAACCTATTACAATTTGCAAAACTAAAAATATGTAGACTCGAGTCTCCTGACAATAAATTTGCCTTTTAGATTTTTTTTTTTTTCCCTCATAAACCCTTAGGAATAGGCTTCTGACTCCCCAAGGGCCTGCAGAACACACATTAAAAACGCTGGTGCCAGAAGGTTGGCTTTTTAAAAGCCTTTTGCTCTAAATGGTCTGGCTCCCATTGTCAAGCACTTGGCTCCCTGGTTTAAGAAAACTGTCTGGTGCATATGAACTCTTGATCACAGACTTCAAAGGGGAGAAACACATGTGCAAGATCAGCCTCCTAAGACTGGTGGGTTGTCTTATAAAGCTGTCTTATGACAACCAATTGCTCCCTGAGAGTGGATACACCCGGTGGGAATAGGAGCTGTGTGCTCTGTCTGTGCAGAAAACAGAGCTGGATGGCAATTTTCTTGAACAGAAAACCCCAATTTCAGTGTAGAAAGATGACCAAAACATTCCATAGCCACACAAGTAAAACTTATTGGTGATTTAATTAAAATTAACTGAATGTGCGCAGCAGGGAAAAAATCTCCCCCTTCAGGGCAAGTAAAACCCAAGAGATCACCTGTGCTGTTTTTAGCTGGGGTAGAATTAGTTTTATTCACAGTATCTAGCTGTGGATTTGGGAATTGCACTGAAAATGGACAGGTTTGATATTATAAAGATATTTTTGTTATTGCTGAGCAGTGGTTACAGTGTCAAGGCCTCTTACACCCTTCCAAAGAGGAGGCTGGGGGTGAACAGGATTTGGGAGGTGACACAGCCAGGACAGCTAATTCCAGCTGAGCACAAAACATCCCATCCCATCCCATCCCATCCCATCCCATCCCATCCCATCCCACATGGCACCATGCAAGGCTGGGGAAGAAGGAGGAAAAGGGGGATACTCGCAGTGATGGCATTTGTCTTCCCAAGTCTCTGACCCATGTGATGGAGCCCTGCTTTCCTGGGGATGACTGAAATTGATCCTGCCTCAGTTGAAATTAAAAAAAAAAAAAAA